TAGATGTCTGTTAACCCCAGTTGAGACATAACTTCTGTTAGTTCTTTTGTTTCTTTGTTGAGTTTCTGATTTGTGGTCCTGTCTAGTGTTGAGAGTGGTGTATTGAAGTCTCCCACTATAAGTGTGTGAGGTTTTATATGAGCTTTGAGTTTTAGTAGTGTTTCTTTTACGAATGTGGGTGACTTTGTATTGGGGGCATAGATGTTCAGAACTGAGACTTTGTGTTGATGGATTTCTCCTGATATGAATATGAAATGACCGTCTTCATCTCTTTTGACTAATTTTGGTTTGAAGTCTATCTTGTTAGATATTAGGATAGCTATGCCTGCTTGCTTCTTATTTCCATTTGATTGGAAAATCTTTTCCCTACCCTTTACCCTGAGGTAATGTCTATCTTTGAAGTTAAGATGTGTTTCTTGTATGCAGCAGAAGGATGGATTCTGTCTTTGTATCCATTCTGTTAGCCTGTGTCTATTTATAGGTGAGTTAAGACCATTAATGTTGAGGGTGAGTAAGGTCCATTGATTGTTGATGCTTGTTTGATTTAGGTTTGATGTTGGCAGTGGTATTGTGAATATATTAGTTCTGCTTCACCCTTGGTTTCTGGTGTAGTTGGATTATCTGTTGCCTACATTTTTGTGGGCGTAGTTACCTTCCTTGGGTTGGAGTTTTCCTTCTAATACTTTCTGTAGGGCTGGATTTGTAGATACATATTGGGAAAATCTGGTTTTGTCATTAAATATCTTGTTCTCTCCGTCTATATTGATTGAGAGTTTTGCTGGATATAGTAGCCTAGGCTGGCATCCGAGTTCTCTTAATGCTTTTACAACATCTATCCAGGACCTTCTGGCCTTGAGAGTTTCCAGGTGTAATTTTGATAGGTCTGCCTTTATATGTTACCTGTCCTTTTTCCTTCGCTGCTCTTAATATTCTTTCTTTATTCTGTATGCTAGGTGTTTTGATTATTATATGTCAAGGGGTCTTTTTTTCTTTGGTCCTGCCTATTTGGAGTTCGGTATGCTTCTTGTACTTTCATTGACATGTCCTTCTTCAGATTTGGAAAGTTTTCCTCGATGATTTTGTTGAATATGTTTTTGGCACCTTTGAGCTGGGCTTCCTCACCTTCGTCTATGCCTATTATTCTTAGGTTTGGCCTTTTCATGGTGTCCCACATTTCCTGGATGTTTTGTGTTAAGGATTTGTTGGATTTATGATTTTCTTTGGTCGATGAATCTATTTCTTCTAGTTTATCTTCTGTGCCTGAGATTCTCTCTTCCATCTCTTGAATTCTATTGGTTATGCTTGTGTCAGTCATTGCCGATTTTTTGCCCAGCTTTTCAATTTCCAGCATTCCTTCCGTTTGTGTTGCCTTTATTTTCTCAATTTCAGTTTTCAAGTCTTGAACCGTTTCCTTCACCTGCTTAATTGTTTTTTCTTGGCTTTCTGTACTTTCCTTAAGGAATTTGTTCATTTCTTCCACTTTTTTGTTTTTTGTTTTTTCCCCTCCATTCCTTTAAGGGATTTTCTCACATCTTCTTTGAGGGCCGATATCATTTTTATGATGGTAATTTTTAAGTCGTACCCTTCTGCTTCCTCTGCTTTGTTGTTGTGTTCCATTCTAGTTGGTGTAGATTCCCTAGATTCTGGTGGTGTCGTGTTTGTCTTTCTGTTCTTAGGTGTTCTCTTGTATTGCCTTCTTCCTATAGCTTCTTCCAGTAAGTGTTGGTGATGTCTCCCCCCTCTCTCTATGGTACTTCCCCGATGGGCTTATGTGGTTCTGAGATTCAATATCTGTAGCTCTGTGTGGTCCAAGCTCTCTAGGAGGTTTCTCCACAGACAGGGATCCAGGGATGGGGTCAAGGATGAGGATCCAGAAGAAGATGCCAGTAGGTATTCACAGTGGACCTCTGGCCAATAGCTCTGGCCAATAGCTCTGGCCAATAGGTGGCGGAAGAGGACGAGGGCTGAGCTAGAACTTGAGAAGGTTTTGCAGGGTAGTGGGATCTCACTGGAAACTGGTGCTCTCCAGCTGAGACCTCGTTCTTTGGCAGAGGCCAAGATTTGGGGGCAAGGATCTTGCCTGCAGGAACTCCGAGTGGACCCGCAGAGATAGGCGGATCTCTGGGAGGGGCCCGGGACTCCAGCAGAGGACTGGAGGCGGGGTCAGAGACCAACCGGTGGAAATTAAGGGTGGTCCCGCGTGGATAGTCAGGTCACCATTGTTCATTGTTGCTCTGAGAAGTCTCCGAAGGAGGGTGGACTGTTGGCTCCACTCTCTGTCCCAGTGCTCAACCAGAGTGGCAGGACCGTGGGTGGAGTAGGGCACAGGGTAAGGGGGGGGTTGGCTGGCGGTGGGGATGGGTGGGGGTGTATCGGAGCTCCAAGGGTGCTCTCAATGGGGACTGGAGACTGGAGCAGCAGGATCAGGGGCCAACCCAGGGATTTCAGGCGGGGGAGGGGGGGAAAGAGGTTGTAGGGGATAGGCAGCCCTGATTGGGCCCACACTCACCTCTGGCCAATAGCCTGCGGAAGAGGACGAGGGCTGAGCTGGAACTTGAGAAGGTTTTGCAGGGTAGTAGGATCTCACTGGAAACTGGCGCTCTCCAGCTGAGACCTCGTTCTTTGGCAGAGGCCAAAGATTTGGGGGTCAAGGATCTTGCCCGCAGGAACTCCGAGTGCGTCAGGGTTTCTCTGTATTGTTTTGAACCTATCCTGTAACTAGCTCTGTAGACCAGGCTGGCTTCGAACTCACAGAGATGTGCCTGCCTCTGCCTCCTGAGTGCTGGGATTAAAGGCGTATGCCACAAATGCCTGGCTTATTAAATTATTTTTTTTTAAATTTTTTATTGAAAGAATTATATTCACATAACATATTCTAATGTGATTTCTTTTCCTTAACTCCTCCAAGACCCTTCCTTTCACTTGAACAACCCAGCTCCATACTCTTTCTTATTCCTTTTCTTTATGAAGTGAAAAAAACAAAAACAAAAACAAAAAACCAGGCAAACAACTAAAATTTCCCAAACAAACCAGAATTTTTTTAAAAAAAAAAAAAAAGCAAAGGAAAAAAAAAAAAAAAAAAACCACAAGGCACACATACAGGCACATGCACAATTAATTTCACATGTTATTTTTTCAATTCTGGAGTTCTTTATTATCGTATATTGACTGCATAAACTAATGAGTTTCATTATGACATTCTCATATATTTGACTACTTTCATATTTCATTTGGCCTTCTCTAGTCCCTTCTCTGTTCCTGATGGTCTTGTTATGCTGCTCCTGTTTTTAAAATAACTTTAGATTGTACATATGATAGAAAGCATGCAACATTTGTTTTCATGGGCCTAGCCTGTGTAGCTTAACAAGGTGATCTTCACCTCCTCCTAGATACCATTCCTACATCCTGTGCAGTGACCTTCACTCTCAAATCGATAATGTCTTTGATTATCATTGTTACACACACATATATACTTTTTATTGTTTTCACACAAGATTGGGTTTATTGCTATAGGAACAGATAGTTTTACAGAGAGAACATGTAAGGATATATTTGGCTTTTTAGTAAATTAATGTTCACCATAAAATGAATAAAGAAACAGATGTACCAGACCATTGCCTACTATATTTCAAATTCTGAAATACTAAATGTGATGTTAGGATATATAAACAGTGAGGTCTATAAAGATGAGAATATAAACCTTTATCCCTTTTGTATAAACAAAGAATGGTGCAGCAGTTTATACAGTTTAAATGCATACAGATGAATAAATTAGATTAAATTGGAAACAGTACTTCACAGGGATTAATTAATTGTAAATTAAAATTGTAGATTATCTGCTTCTTCTAGCACATTAATTTTCATCTTCAGTGCATGTGAGGGATTATCATATTAAAAGAGTATTGATCATTTTACTTAGAAAACATTGGTTCAGAACTGCACATAATTAAGTTAAATTTTAGTTAATATGTTTTATATATTAACAATAAAGTGTTAACAAATAATGCTATATATTGTACATAGAAATTATAATCATATATTATTGAGATTGCAACATACTAGCTGTGATGTTGAAAAGTAATTGATATCCAAATATGATATTTGAGTATAGCTAAAATTTTTCTAATGTTTATTTTGTGATTTTTCTGTTTTTTGAGACAGAGTTTCTCTGTGCAGTCCTGGCTGTCCTGGAATTGCACTTTAGAGCAGGCTAGCCTCAAATTCACAGACATCCACCTGACTCTGCCTCTCAAATGCTGGGATAAACGGTGTACACCACCACACTCAGCTTGTTACTTTTAAATTTTTAAATTGTAGTATAATTACGTGTTTCCATCATTTACTCCTTCCAAACTTTCTCAGACACTCCTACTCACTCTTTCTCAAATTCCTGACCTCATTGTTTAATAATTGTTGCAACATGCATATATGTATATGTATAGACATATATATTTGTAAATATGTGTGTTCAACCTGCTCAGTCTAGTACTTGTGTGTTTCTTTTTCAGGGTTGATCATCTATTGTTGTATAACCAATTGATGTGCTCTTCCCTGGAAAGTGCATTTTCTCTTGCTCTCAGTATCCCTTGGGAGAGGACTCAATGGGCTTTTTCCTGTCCACACTAGTACATGTCTACTGTTGTTGCCCTTGTTCAGCTCATGTTTAGGCAGCAATGTTGGTGATAAACCATGGGTGTAGCTTCTGACAATACTTGGAGACACAACTTCATGATAGCCTCACTTTACATATTTAAATAATTTATAAAGATCTATTTACTTAACTACAGGCTTTATAATCAACTGTTTCTATTGTATAAATTAATTGACTTTAAGGTTTTACTTTTGAATCTTTGTCTTCTTCTACTAGTGTGGCAATAATATTGCCAAGCTTCACTTATTGAAAGCTTATTGTTTCTAGTACTAATTACATGATAAAATAAGTGATATATATTCTTTTAGCTCTTTATTTCAACATGCTTTTTTTTTCTTTGAATTCACAGGTTGATAGAATTCTTGATGAATTACCTAACTTTACAAACCAAAACGCTCCTTTCTTGTCAAGAACAGAAAGAAGTACAGTAGTACCAGATGAGGTAAGAAGACACCTATATCTGAACTTGTTGGTAGTTTTCGAAATGGAGCAGACTGTGCATTGTAGGGATTACCTTAGGGACTTAGATAATGACCTGGGAAACCTGCTCCATTGTCTTTAACGAGTGTAATACTTACACATTTAGCAAAAGTACACATTGCTGTAAGAGACCATGATTCAGAGACTTCTAGAGTCAGATGACATTATCACCAAGACATACAAGAAAGATCTTAATATGTTGAATTTGAAATAGAAAGTTCACTCTCAATTCAACTCCATTTACTCATAAAATGCATGTTTCTCTTTATAATTTAATTCCATTTTGAAACCTAAGACACACCAGTGATTCTTTAGTTCTATTAGGTTGTATTTTAAAGTGTATTTTTTGAGTTTTCTTAACATTTATCAATTTTATAAATGGCTTATACTTGATAAATGGGAGAAGTAAAGCAAATTAAACTTAGAAATGAAGGTTCTGTTTTATCCAGATTGAATTTATTAAAAAGTTCTTAAGATAAAATAGTTTAAAAGTTAGATCAATTAGTAATATTGCTGTGGTCTGAATGTTTGTGTGTGTTTGAATTCATATGCTGACATCTGAGTTTCCAAAATGATAAGACTTACTGGGAAGGGACTAAGTCCCAAGGGCAGGAGCTCCTTAGCCTTCCCAGGGTATTAAACTCAAGAGAAGCTGCCATTTTTGGGGAAGCAAACCATGTCACTTGCTGAATCTGTTTGTGCCATGATATTTTCCTTTCCAGCCTCAGAACTTGGAGAAATACGTTTTTATAGCTTACAGCATATTACTGTACTCCAAATTAAAGCAGTTGTTACAATGTAACCATAGGTATATAAAGGCATCATTCAAATACCATAGAAATCAGGCCATCTTTAAAATATATTATTAATGAATTAAAATAGGATTATCAACCAGCATTAAAAATACAGGAAACATCCAAAGCAGAGCACTGCCAAGAGCAAAGGGCTAAGTCAGAGATGGCTGAATTAATTTATAATCTTTTTAGTGGCAAAGTAAGTGGTTCAAGAATAGGGTGAACTACATTAAGGATGAAATAAAAACAATAATAATTACTTTTGTAAAGTTTTAGGAAATCTTAGGAAGTTGGTGAAATTCAGCAATGATTTTTTTTCAGCCATTAACTGGCAACCTGAAATAGGATCAAAATTAACATCAGTTTCTATGAAATTGTTTTGTATTCAGAACATGGTTCTATCCTTATCTGAAGAGCAACAGGGGGTCATTGGCTGCTGAATGGGACAAACAGTTGCCTCCAAGGGACGAACTCCCACAAAGGTTGTCTAATCCCAAGTGAAACACATGTGCATTCAAGCAAAGCCTACCAAACTCAGCAGGTTATATATCCATGCGTACACATATAGACATATTAATAGACATGGAAAATAATGATTAAAGAAGAGCTCATTAATTTGGGAGTGGGAGGAAGGGGTTGGAGAAGGGTGAGTGAGAGGTAGGAGAGATATAGATGCAGTGCTCATATATGAAATTCTGAAGAAAAAATACTATTAAAAAGGCAATTTAGAATGGTCTAGTGTTTTTTAAAGTTATTTCCTGTAGTTGTTCAGTGAATGAGCCATCCCAATAGCTCATTTCTTCATTGTGGAGAGTTCCAGTGTTGAACTGATTTTCAATGCCTCATTGTCTCATTCAGTCACACACACATGCATGCACACACGCACATGCACGTGCACACACACACACACATATATGAGATGCACACACACACACACACACACACACATGATCCACAGTGAAACATGTCAGAAGGAATCTGTGACTGAAATTAAAACTTTGTTTCCAGTGGCTTTAGAGTTATGTCATAATATTGCAGGCAGAAGGGATATCCACCAGGAGCAGATGTGTCTCACTCTCATAAAAAGTTTTAATATTAAACATATTAAATGCCATATTCTTTGGCATGTCTTTGAAGTGTTTGAAGATCATCTACCTAATTTTAACTGTTTATGACCTTGAAAACATACCTAACATAACTATAAGTTTAACTATTATAGATATCTATTAACCTGTATTTTCACATTTATAATATTTTAAATAAGCTGCATAAATATAATATCCTAAGCATATAAAGATATGTACATAAATACAATATCCTAAACATACAGTATAAGAAATTTAACTTTCAATTTTTATCAATAAACCAAAATACATACACCAATGTAAATATTTAAGACTTGTAATTGCTGTTTTGTTTTCAAAGTAGATGCAATAATCTACCCTTTTATCCTATCATTTCTATGTTACCCCTTTTCTTTTGAGAACAAGATTCCTGAATCTAACCTCCTTTGTTTAGCTTTATTCTCCCCTGACTATTACCAATAACAACTTGTAACCAAACCCCTTAAATGATAATGAGTGTCCATACCATTTTTTCTTTAGGAATGTGGGCATAGTTCCCTAGAATACTTCCAGGTTTTTAGGGGTGGTGACATATGTTGGGGAACCTTGAGAAAACTGGGATAATAATGAAGTTGCACCTGGAGTAGTCTGGGAGGCAGGGCTCTCTCAGCCAGAAGCCTTGAGGCTGTTTTGGATGCAGAATTTTGAGGAGATTATAACAAAGATAGTTTAAAATTTTTAAAGGTAACTTTTAAAGGTAACATACATATCTGCATTCATATAAGTATAAACTGTGCATTGTCTACATGTCAGCCAAAGATGATTTTTGTAATGTGTTTGAGCAGATAAAATATACTTCATGTGTCTTGTAGTTCTTTTAGTTTTATTTCTTTATGTCTGCAATTAGGTTTTCAGTGGGATCTTCTCGACCAAACCTGATTTTCTTCAATCCAGAATGAACCCACAGCTTCTCATTTCCTATGGAAATAAAGGCAAAACCTCTCCCCCAAATTAACACACATTTTGACTTAAATTTTAAAGCCGAGATACTTTTAAAATACATAGGTTGGTTTAATCTATTATTTTTCATAATTCAGTGTCTTTTAGCAGCCAAAAAATTTAAAGACAACACAATAACTATAGGATCCAGACTCTTTGTGTATTTCCCATCTTTATATGGCTTTTTTTCTCTTATATTATTTTACTCTCTTTTTAAGGACTTTATTTTATTATTTATAAACTATATATTTCATTTTTATGACTCTTTTCTCTTCCAAGTCTATGTATATTTTTATTTATTTATTTATTTATTTATTTACTTATTTATTTATTTATTTATTTTGGTTTTCAAGACAGGGTTTCTCTGTGTATCTTTGGAGCCTATCCTGGCACTCACTCTATCGCCCAGGTTGACTCCCAGCAAAGATCTGCCTGCTTCTGCCTCCTGAGTGCAGTTCTGGGACTAAAGGTGGGTGCTACCACCACCCGGCAATATTTTCAAACACATTGTAACCTGTTTAGATTTTTTTTTTAATCTGAATCTATTTTACTGTATATCTGTAACCTTTTTGTCTGTATGAGCAAAACCTAAACCTGCCACTCAGGGAATGGTTGGGAGATGCCTGTGTCCAAGGCCCCTGTGAGATACTGTAGGAATCAGCCATATGGCTTAGGTCAGGGCGTGCTGGCATCTCTGTACTGTAGCAGGTATGGGAGATACCAGACTAGGAAGTTGTGTCTGGCTCTGTTTCTGTGCATTTAGAAACTTTTTCGTTTTTAAGCTTTCTCAGTTGATATGGTGTATGTGGGCCTTGATGTTGGATGCCATTTGTTGGTGGAAATTTCTGTCCTACCTGCCAGTTCCCAGATAACCAACACAGAGGCCTAATATTAATTAAAAAATGCTCAGCCAATAGCTCAGGCTTTTTACTATGCAACTCTTACACTTAAATTAAGCTATATCTCTTATCTATGCTTTGCCATGTGGCTTGATACCTTTTCTCAGTCTGGCATGCCCATCTTGCTTCTCCCTGCATGTGCTCTCAACTTCTCTCCCCAGCATCCCCTTTGTCTGGTTCCCTGGCCTAACCTCCTCCTGCCTAGCCATAGGCCAGTGAGCTTTTTATTAGCCAGCGAGAGTAGTACATAATCATAGTGTACAAAAAGATTATTCCACGGTACCTTTCTTCTTCTTAGAGTTCTTCTTTCTGTCCAAAAATTCCTGCTATATCTCCTGCACACCTATTGGCTGTTTAGCTTTTTATTAAACCAATCATAATGACATATCATTACACAGTATAATCAAATATCTCACAAAATTTTTCTAGCATGCTATACCACAATAAGTTTAGTACTTTTATATGCCCATGGTTGGAGTTGATCTAGTAAAAATTAACAAAAGAGGCAAGAGGAAGTTAAAGAAGGGTGATGGGTAATGTGAACACAGAGATAGTAACTGAACATTTTCTGCATAAAATGAGGAAAAGTGAAAACAAGTTTAAAGAGGAATATATCTTAGCTCATGTGCAAAATATGTGCATTTAGAAGCAGGGTTGTGGAGACAGATTTCATTTATTTTTCTTTCTATTTAGTTATATTACTTGCTTCTATACAGAACAATAACAACTAAAAGAACCTATTATAGGTCAGAGGACTAAATTAGAACTAAAGATGGAACTCAAACATTAGAAACTTAACCATTACTAATAAAATCAAATGTTTGATAGGCTGAGAAGTGTGCCAAATTTCTCACTTCTTAGTGCAGTTGATGGATGTGAGAAATGGAACCTCCATTGTTAAACCAGTTTTAATATATAATTTATAGTGCAAAGAACAAACAAATAAAACTCCACATAATTAAAAAAGAGTCCTCCAAGACCCAATTACTATTAAAAGAAGTTATGTGTTAGAATAGAGCCAGGGAGTCATGAAAGGAGGCGTGTTGTGTAATTTAGCTTAGATTCTGTGTGTGACTTGAATTTTATTTATAAATTGAATACTTTAAAATAGAAGTATAAAACGTATTGAAGTGGTTGAATATACATTTAGAATAGTATGCAGATACACTGAATCTCAGTTGACTCGTCTGAAAAGAAAAGTTCTGA